TATTTTGTTTGCTAAAAAGAAAGATGGTTCTTTGAGGTTGTGCATTGATTACCGGAAGTTGAAACATGCCACCATCAAGAATAAGTATCCTTTACCAAGGATAGATGATTTGTTTGATCAGTTGAGGGGAGCCAGTTATTTTTCAAAGATTGACGTAAGGTCAGGCTACTATCAGTTGCGGGTTAGGGATGAAGATATCCTAAAGACAGCGTTTCGTACACAGTATGGACATTATGAGTTTTTTGTCATGCCCTTTGGTTTAACTAATGCACCAGCGACATTCATGGATTTAATGAACCGTGTTTTTCACGATTATTTAGACCAGTTTGTGGTAGTTTTCGTGAATGACATTCTTGTGTAGTCACAGACTCGGGAGGAGCACGAGATCCATTTGAGTATTGTATTGCAGATTTTGCGAGAGCACTGTTTGTATGCCAAGTTTGAGAAATGTGAGTTTTGGCTACAAGAGGTGAAATTTTTGGGGTATGTTGTCTCGGAAGGTGGAGTGTCAGTTGATCCATCGAAGATTGAGGCAGTTCTGAATTGGGAGCAACCCAAGAATGTTCTTGAGAACCGAAGTTTTCTTGGTCTAGCGGGCTACTATCGTAGATTTATGAAGGATTTTTCCCGTCTAGCAGCTCCTGTGACTAGATTAACCCAAAAGGGAATTAAGTTTACATGGAATGAAGCATGTGAGTTATCCTTTCAAGAGTTGAAGACAAGGCTGACTACGGCTCCAGTGTTGGTGATACCCGAGCATGGATTGGGTTACGTGATCTATTGTGATGTTTTACGTGATGGTTTAGGTTGTGTGCTGATGCAGGATGGTAGGGTTGTGGCTTATGAGTCTCGACAGTTGAAGACTCATGAGTACAACTACCCTACTCATGATCTGGAATTAACGGCAGTTGTATTTGCCTTGAAGTGTTGAAGACACTATTTGTATGGTGAGAGATTCGAGGTGTTCTCGGACTACAAGAGTCTCAAGTACTTTTTCTCCCAAAAAGACTTAAACAACAGATAAAGGCAATGGGTTGAATTGTTGGAGGACTATAACTTTGACTTGCAGTATCATCCGGGCAAGGCAAATGTTGTAGTTGATGCCTTAAGCCAGAAATCTCGTGGAACTTTGGCCGGATTAGCCATTCGGAAGTGGAAGATGCTTGAGGATTTGGCAGAAATGGGATTGTCTTGCTTTGATGATGATGTTGGTAGTGAGTTAGCATTCTTGTTTAGTCTTGTGGCTCAGCCTACTCTTGTCGGACGAGTGATTGAGTCACAGAGGCAGGATCTGGATTTGGATGCTATTCACACTTTGATTTCTGGTGGTGAGACAGTGAAGGATTGGACTTTGCATACAGATGGAGGTCTACGGTTCAGGGGTTTGTTGGTTATTTCCATAGTTCGTCGGAAGGATGTTTTACGGGAGTTTCACACTTCCCGCTTTGTAGTTCATCCGGGTGGTACTAAAATGCATCACAATTTGAAACGTCAGTAATGGTGGAATGGAATGAAAAAAGATGTTGCACAGTTTGTGGCTAGATGTCTCACATGTCAGCAAGTGAAAGCCGAGCACCAAAGACCAGCTGGTACATTGCAACCATTGCTTGTAACATAGTGAAAATGGGAGCAGATTGCTATGGATTTTGTGACAGGTCTTCCTCGATCATGGAGAGGAAATGAAGTCGTATGGGTCATTATTGATAGATTGACCAAGACGGCTCACTTTTTGCCTATTAAGGCGACAAATGATGTAGAGGCACTTGGTGTTCTTTATGTGAAAGAGATTATGAGGTTGCACGGAATTCCAGTGACTATTGTTTCAGATAGGAATGCTAAGTTCACTTCGAAGTTCTGGGAAGGATTTCAAGCAGCGTTTGGTTCATTGTTGCACCTTAGTACGCCATTCCATCCACAGACGGACTGCCAATCGGAGCGTACCATCCAGATCTTGGAGGATATGCTTTGAGTATGTGTACTTGATTTGGGAGGTAGTTGGGAGGATCACCTTCCACTTATTGAGTTTGCCTATAATAACAGTTATCAGGCGAGTATTCAGATGGCTTTATTTGAGGCGTTGTATGGTAGACCTTGTAGGTCTTTTTTTTATTGGACTAAAGTAGGCGAAACAGCCGCCTTAGGACCCAACATTGTACTTGAGACTACTGAAAAGATTAAGTTGATCAGGCAGAGATTGCTTACAGCTCAGAGCTGACAGAAGAGTTATACGGATAGGCAGAGACGGCCGCTATCCATTGAGGTGGGAGACCACATCTTTCTATGGGTTTCTCTACGGAAGGGTTTGATGAGGTTCGGGAAGAGTGGCAAATTATCGCCACGATTCATTTGACCTTTTGAGATCTTGGATTGTGTAGGAGAGATTGCCTACAGACTTACTTTGCCACCACAGATGGACAGAGTCCACACTGTCTTTTATGTATCAATACTACGGAAGTACGAGCCGAATCCATCTCACATTTTGAGTTGGGTTGACGTGAATATTGATGAGGATGTTTCTTATGAGGATGGACCAGTTCAAATCCTTAACACACAGCAAAAGGTGTTAAGGAACAAGACGATACCATTGGTAAAAGTTCTCTGAAGGCATCATGGAGTTAAAGAAGCTACTTGGGAGCTCGAACAGGAAGTTCGCTCCAAGTATCCAGAGTTGTTTTCTCCTTCAAGTATAGCTTGATCTCGGGGATGAAATCTTTTAAAGTTGGAGAGAATGTTGTGTTATGATTTAATTATATATATGTATATGTGTGTATTTGGGTGTATGTGGTAGGAAAAAGAGAAGAAAAGTCAAAACAGTAAAATTTTGGTGGTGGGACCCACCACTTACATATTTTATGGTACAGAGACTACATTTAGTCTCATTTTCTCTCCCCAGCACCATCTTCTTTCCCATTTACATTTCATTTTTTTTTTTCACTTTGCCTTCAAGACTTCAAAGTTTGATTGCTATTCAACCATTAAGAATTTTTGGGTGCCGTTTACGGCAAATCGAAGAGCTTGACAAGATCTTCAAGTGGGTGTAAGCAATTTTAGTTTTGGTGCAACCCAGGATTTTCGAAATTAGGGCACAAAATTGGGGGTTTTCATAATTTTGGAGGTAGGAGTTCCTAATTCATACATTCTTGCACCTTTATGAATTATTCTTCTTGTTTGATGTCTAGCATGCTATATTTGTGTTGATTCCTTTAAAATAACTTAATTGTTGTATCATGAAGTATATGATTATATGTATGTGTTTATGTGGTATGAAAAAGCATACTTAAATGACTTTATTTCATGCCTATTGTAATATATGTGCTGAAATTTGTAACTTGAAGCATGAAGTTAAATTTTAGAGATTTCTATAAAGTATGGATATTGTGAATGTTGATTTGCAAAGAATGAAATTCTTTATTGTCATGACATTGTGAAATAATAAGCATCCATACACATCATTGGGAAAGAGACGGGAACATGAATTTAAAAGGAATATATATATATATATATATATATATATATATATATATATTTGGGAAAGAATTTTGAAAAGGATATTATGAAAAACTCGGCCGCCTAGGAGTTGCCTAGGGATCGTGGCGTTAGTAAGGCCTAGAGGGGATTAGGGAGATCACCCTAGCGTGGTTGAGTTAACTGGGCCCTAAATGAGGCCATAGCGTTGCCATGGGTCAGGGACAACTAGCCAATCCTCCTCTCGTGCCGCCATGGAGTTGCCATGGGACGGGTTGCATTAACGGTTTGGAAATGATGATGGATATGATTTTGAAAATGGGGAGCGACATAGTATGTCATAGCATTCCATAGCATCACATTGTCTATTTTGGCCTTGTAATTGTTGTATTTTCTCCCGACATAACATGATCCCGTTTTCTATATTTCTATTCATTGTTTGGATTCACGGGGTCACAAGAGGTGTATCTTAGGTACCACCTACTGAGCTTTATACTCACCCTATTATTTAACATTTTTCAGGATACGGGAAAGAAGTGGCGGATGATGTTCCATCATAGGCCTAATTTGGATTAGAAGATCATTTTGCTATTTTTGTATCTAAGTCCCATCATTTTTTTTGTAAAACCTTACTTTGTTATATTCGGTATAGAGACTTATGAACTCTTGTTATTTTTATTTTGCTTCATGGACTGTAAATTGATGTAATTGGAGTAAAATTCTAGTATGTGTGCATGGGACTACATATAAGATAGGTACTCCTTTGTTCTGGACGAATGGGATGATGATGATAAGCTATTTTGAGGATGTTGTTGATGTTGTTGTTTTGGAAATGTTTTATATTGTTTGCATTGTGTACTGGGACAGTTTAGATAAGTTTTGTAGGTCCATCAGTAGCCAGCTCATTTTTATGCATTTAAGTAGGTTGTCGTAGGGATCATTTTTAGCATAGGTCATGCCGATCTTTTTTTTATTATATATTTTTTATATATATATATATATATATATATATATAGGTGGTATCATTTTAGGGTCATTACAAATTTCTTCATTTCTACCAAACAAAACATAAATTACATGATAATATAATTATATACTCGTCGTTCATTTTCTTGTATAATAGTCCCATATTAGTTGTTCCATTTGAAAAGTTAAAACAAAATATATTTATCTTTCTATAATTACCCTTTAAATTTTTAAAAATCTCACAATTTGATAATATATATATTTAAACAAAAACTTAGTAATTTTAAAATGGGACAATTCATTAATTATATAACCCTTTATAAAAACTTATAATACCAAAAATGAATATCTAATATGAGACAGAAAAAATAATTATAAATGAATTAACTCTTTAAATACTTTATGTCATATCACTAAATGTATGGAACTAGATACTGTGACTGCTTATAAAGTATGGAAAAAGAATAACAAAAGTATAAGATTATTGATTTTCTCAATCTCTTTCACTTGTGGGATTGAAAGGCCATAATAAAATAAGCCAAAAAATAAAAAAATTGAGTCCTTAAATATTTGGATAGAAAATTTTAAAATGACATTAAAGCAATCGAAATCTAATATGTATATAGTATGATACAAAGAGCAAGTTAGCACTGCAAAGCTCTTCTCCTACCTAAAAGGCACCCCTTGAAATGTAGTGCAGTGATGAATTATTAATTCCTAGTACTTCTATCTCAACGCCAAATTGCCTTTCCCTAAATCTAAGTAAAAAAAAAAAAAAAAAAAAAAAAAAGAGCAAAAAAATATCAACTTTGCACATTGCAAGGCCATAACCAAAAAAAAAAAGCCAAACCATATAAAAACTCTAAAATTCAAGCTTTTAAATCAAGAGATCTTTTCTCAACTTTGGGCAACTTTTCTCTTTCTCAAGGTTCTTGGGTTGTGGGAAAACGACCGATGAAGTCGACGACTGAAAATCCGGTGAATGCCGAGGGAACTCCGATAGCATTTGGACCACCTCCCTCATCGTGGGGCGTTCAACGCTATTCTCTTGGATGCAGAGCATGGCAATGAAGAATAAGTGCATTGCTTCCTCTTGGGGCACTGTGGTTAGCCTTGTATCAACAATGCCAATGGCTTCTTCTTTGTGGCATTTGGTTACCCTCTTGCTCCATTGCACGATGTCCACACCTTCGCCAAAATCTCCCACTGGGCGTCGCCCCGTGATGAGTTCCAGAAGGACAACTCCAAAACTATAAACATCGCTTTTCTCATCTACCCTTAAGGTGTATGCATATTCTGCAATGACATGAAGATACAAAATGTTTACTACAATAATAAACTTTGTGCAAGTAACATTTATTTTAACTATAATACATCAAGATAGATGATAATATGTTTTACAATATATCAAACAAACTCTTGAATTGATGAACTCTTAGAAGGCAAGAAAATAAAGATGGGGTAAATGGGGATAGACATTTTATAACAAATTGGGTAAATTATAGTAAATTTAGACAAATTATTTAGCATTTATTACTCTCCTTGTTGATAGTGGGAAAGTGAGTTTGACTGTGAAAAGTCAGTACTGTCCTTAATAAACAGACAACTCAACCATTAATTTTTTGAGTGTGAAAAGTTAATAATGCCCCCAATGAATAGACAACTATCAATTTGATGCGCTATTCTTGGAGCATAGAAAAGTGAGTTTGAGTGTGAAAAGTCAATAATACCCTTATATTGTTATTATAATAATATTATATTACTTATTTTTTATTTTATTTTGGGTAATTCTTTAGTATATAATGTCCTAGAAGGGTCATGCTGATCTTTATGTGACGTGGAAAATATTGTGTAAGATTGGAGTGTTGGAGATGTGTTGTCTTCCACAAGGGGTGGTGGTCCCAAAGAAAGAAGAAACATTGTTACGTAGTAGTAGTAGTAGTAGTATAATAATATATAGTGGTAAAACAATGGACAACACTTTACGCACAATCACTTCGTAAGATCAAACGTAGTCTTATCTGAGAAAAAGTGTGTGTGGTGTTGATTTACAGATTTTGTACTATCTTTTTGCATACGCGTAGATTGATGTGCATGTTGGTTAGCTTTCACGATACTCGACACTGTTTTGATAGACCCATCCATGTCAGTGACGGACTGACCACTTCCTTCTTCCTAGCTCAGATTTTCTCACACACATATAATATACATATTCATACATTATACAAAACAGTCTTATGGTGAGATAGACATTATCATAATTCTCATAAGATCTCTTTTTTTTATAGTGATTATGTATAAATAGCATTACTCTGTTTCCTGTGTGTGTGTGTGTGTATATATATATAGATATGTGTGTAACTGTTTATATATAAGTATATAATCAAAGAGTGGACCCCACAGAATTTTGGTCTTCTGTTTGTGATTACCCAAAAAGTTCTAAACACTGTATTCTGTTTTTTTTTTTGGACTCTGCAGCACAGATCACAATCTTTCAGTTTGGCTCAAACAGCAATGGTCTGATAGTACTATGTGGTTCAAAATTTTATTTTGATACAATTACTAAAATGTCCAAAACAATTTGCTTAATAATCATCTTATAACTTTGTTTAAGTGTAGTAGTTTTGATCTAGCAGATTTTGACGAAGGAAAAAAAACAAAAGAAGGTATGTTTGGTTAAAAATAATTTACTATTTTAATAAATTGATAAAAAGAAATTGAAAGATAAAAATTATTTGACAGAAAATGAGAAATTTAGATCAAATTGTGAAAAAATAACAACTATGGTGTTTCCATCCATTGGACTTCAAAACAAAGCAGAGACTAATTTGTGAAATGAGGTTCAGAAAACTATAAAATCATTATGGTGATTGTGTCTTATTTGATCCCAAAAAAAAAAATTATTGTATTAAGTTATATTATATTATATTTTGAATAATTGCTAACTTAAATTGTATGAAAAAAAAAAAAAAAAACTATGTCTAGTTCAAAATCACATGTACCTGACTCAATAGACTTTAAATTGACAAAGTCACACATGACAATGAAATTTGACAATGTCACCATTGACAACATTAACTAACCACACTAACACATTTAGGATATGTAGATGTACCGAATCAAACGAAACGCTCGTAAATTGAAATTGATAGAAATTTAATTCAAATTAAACGCAACATAGGAACGTACCAGGAGCAATGTAGCCGTACGAGCCAGCAATCGCGGACATGCACTCCGACGCCCCACCGTCCACCAAGAACTTGGCCAGCCCAAAGTCCGCAACATGAGCTTCGAAGCTCGAATTGAGCAAAATATTGTTCGATTTCACGTCGCGATGCACGATCAACGGCGAGCAATCATGGTGGAGATAGCACAGGCCTTTAGCAGCCTCCATAGCAATCTTGTACCTCAAGTCCCACCCCAAGAACAACCCCCCTTTCTTACCATGCAATGCCTCTCCCAGACTCCCATTCCTCATGTACTCATACACAAGCAAGTTTGAGTCCTTGTTTGAGCAAAATGCCAACAGTCTCACTATGTTTCGATGTCTGATGTTGCCAAGAGTCCTAATCTCTGCTCTGAAACCATGGTCATGGAGGCTATTAGCGCCCAAACCAACAAGTTTTTTCACTGCAATTTCAACCCCATTAGGCATTTTGCCATGGTACACAGTCCCTGCACCTCCTCTGCCTATCACATTGCCGTCCTTCACGGATTCAATCACATCAGAGACCGTGAATTCGACCTTCTGAAATGCTGTCATCTTCCAATAATCCGCGCCATTTTTCCTAAATGACCTGGCTTTTAGTATGGCTGCGGAGGCAAATGCTAAAGAGCATAGTAATAGGCCGAGGGCAAATATTAGCTTGAAGTCTTTGGGGGACTTCTTGGGTGGTTTTGTTATAGTGGTGAAGTTGCAAGGATTGTTCAGAAGTGAGCCACAGAGCTGAGGATTCCCGGCATAAGAGGAGGCGTTGAAGAAGGAGAATTGGCCTGTTTCAGGGAGCTTTCCGGAGAGATCATTGAAGGAGAAGTCAGCAATTGTGAGGCTTTTCATGGAGCCTATTGACTTGGGTATGGTTTGGTTCAAGTGGTTTCTTGATAAGTTCAAGTAGTTCAATATATGGATATTGGAAACCTCGGATGGTATTGAGCCAGAGAGGTTGTTCTGGCTCATGTCTAGGTAAGTGAGATGGAAACAGTTCCCTATTTCCGGAGGAATTAGGCCGGAAAGCGAATTCCCCCTGAGGTCAAGCTTTAGGATTTGTTCTAGTTCTCCTATAGAAGGAGGGATTGGACCAGAGAATTGGTTTCCACCAAGCAAGAGGATTTGGAGGGAAGTGAAATTGGAAAGTGAGAATGGTAAAGAGCCTGAAAGAAGATTGTTTTGCAGGTTTAACTGGCCTAATTTAGTCGGCTTCGACGTGGCATTGCCGTTCTCCGGCATAGTTCCTGACAAATCATTGTTCTGCAATTCAACTAAATTTAGCTCAGGCAAGTAAATGAAGCCATTTGGGATGCTACCATTTAGGTAGTTTTGCCCCAACCTTACTCTTGTGAGGCTTGAACATGATCCTAACCCCTCAGGTATGGGCCCGAACAGAAAATTCTTGAGGAGGATCAAAATCCTAAGTTGGTTTGAAGCACACAAGTTTCGAGGGATCGTACCAGTGAGCTTATTCGTGGACAAATCGAGCAACTGGAGCTTCCCATTTCGGCCTAGACTCTCGGGAATGACACCGGTGAAGTTGTTCATCCAGAGCTGAAGACACTCCAGATCAGGCAAATCAGCAACGAAATCCGGTATTGGCCCATGAAGTCTATTCAGGAACAGGTTCAGGAGCTTGAGGTGTTTGAGGCCAATGAGCTCATATGGGATTTCCCCAGCAAGTGCATTGCTAGACAGATCAAGATTGATTAGGCTTGTTAGGTTGCCTAGTTTCTTCGGGATTGAGCCCGAGAGCAGATTCAAATGCAAGTACAGTGTCTCAAGTGACTTCAAATTCCCCAATTCATGAGGGATTGAGCCATCCAATTCACAGCTTTGAATCTCCATGTGGACTAGATTCACCAAGTTGCCAAACTCTCTCGGAATACCGCCTTCGAACATATTGAAATAGCCCAAGTAAATCTGCTTCAAGTTTGTGAGATTTCCCAACTCACCAGGGATTCTCCCATGCAGATCATTGCCCGCCAGGTTCAAGTACTCCAACCCCATCAAGTTTCCATAGCTTGGCGGGATTTTCCCGAAGAAATAATTCCCTCCAAAATCCAAGTGCTTGAGTTTCTTCAACCCCAAAATCCCAATAGGAAGGAAAGCAGTGAAGTTGTTGTTGTAAGCATCAAACACCTCCAAGTTTGCAAGACTTGTTGAGTAGTCCCAATCCAGGCCACCACTGAACTGGTTGTTTGATATGTTGAGTGACTGAAGACTACTCAGATTCTCAATCTTGATTTCGCCAGTGAAGTTGTTGCCGGCGAGGGAGAGTTGGGAGAGCCTATCGAGGCTGGAGATGGCAGAGGAAACAGAGCCACAAAGATTCATGTTTGATAAATCAAGTGAAACCACTCTTCCATGGAAGCATTTGATTCCCACCCACGAACATACCGAGCTCGGATTTGAAGAATCCCAAGTGCTCAAGGCCAGGTCAGTGAATTCAAAGCCTTGTTTGAGAGTGTTCAAGGCATGAAAATCACTAGTGACAGAAGAAGTAGTGCCCACAAGGAAGAAGAGTGTTAGAAGAATAAAGGGAGCCATTTTTTCTTTGGAAAATTAAGTTTGTGAGAATTTGAAGAAGAAAGGAATGAATTTAAGAGCTTCGACAATAATGGATTTTTCAGAAAAGAGAAGAAAAGTAAAAGGAATCTGAGGAACTTCAAGTGTGCATAGGTTTAAAGAATCAAACATCTTCAAAGGAAAAGAGACTTCAAGTTCAAGGAAGAAGCTAAGCCTTCCCTTTCCTTTGTTTGCTTTTCTTTTCCCTTCTCAATGAAAGAAGAGGAAGAGATTAGTATTCAGCAAAAACTGGTTTTGTTGTGAGCTTTATCTCTATCTATCTACAATAACCTTCTTTAAGGAAGAGAGAGAGAGAGACAGGTCTCATGAGAAATTAAATCAATAAAGCAGCCGTTGGAGGATAACAGAAATTTAAAGCTTATAGATCATGAAAAAAAAGTAAAGTTGATTCTCTCACTTGGCATGACAAAAATGCCCTTTAGCTTTAATCAAAGTAGGCTCTTTACTTCGAATGATAGATGATGAAGTTGCACTTTCAGTCATAAAATGTGGCTGATGAATTCTTCTCTTATTATGATAAATGACAACTATGCATATTGGTTTTTCATGAGGATATGAATTGAACAAAAAGTGGGCAAAATTATACAAAAGGAAAAAAGTGGACAAGGCAATCAATGCTTGCCACCATTACAAAATTATTGTGTGTCACTAATGTTAACGCCTTGATGATTCATGGAGGACCCATATATTTATAATAATATACTACTGACTCATATAAAGACCTTCCTGTATATAATCGATATTATCAACTAATTATATCTTATCACATAACAAAAAAAATTTATTTCAGTCCATCGTATTATTACATGTTATAATTTAATCTGTTAATAACACTATTTCGACTTTTCACTCATTAGAGTCTCATAACATTAAAAGTATTTTCCACTCATTAGTCTCATCGCAAAAAGATGTTGGAATGAGAAGATTGTGAAAAACAGAGTTAGATTGTACCTAAACAACTTTTAAACTCAAATTCAAAACTTCCAACTTATCAATATTGGTACTTTTACCATTGTACAAAGTCATTTTTACTAAAACAACCCATGGATGTTCTATGAATTGCCAAATCCTCATTCTCATGTGTGCAAGAAATTAATAAGAGGTTGGAAATGGAGCATTCGAAGATATACAATTGTGTACTTTGATGTAGAATGTATAGATACACATGGGTATATAATTTTCTATTTTCAATAATTATTTTATTTTTTTCACTCTCTTGGGGCTGGAAACATGTGCCTGCAACAACAGTGGATGTAAGAAGTAAAAGATGATGATTATTAATATATCATTACAATGTTTTTTTAATGAATGATCTAAATATAATTATGTAGCATGGATAGGTTGCATGGAAGATGGAACCAGTGTAGCTTTTTGTGTTGGTGCTTTATTCCTTCTCCTTCCTTGCCCTACAGGTCTGGGACCAACTCTCTATGTAATGTGTGTATTTAAGCTTTATTAGAAGATGGAATAGTCTTAAAGAGAGGGCTAGCTGAAAAGAAAAAGCAGAGAAATAATATTTTTGCTTTTAATCTTCCTCCACTTCAAAAGAAAAATCCATGACCCCTCCTCTTCACATGGAAAAGAGTGCTCTTGTATTAACATGTAACTCATTCCAGAACCCCCTCTCTATCTATGTGTGTGTGTATAGATATATATATATATATATATTAGTTGGTACACAAACCCCTTCAAGAAATTGTTTGCACTTTGTAGGAATTGATCCTGAAACCTGATACTTCATGAGGCACTAGAACATAAGTCTTTTTTAGGTCAACTCCTTGGAATATATATATATATATATATATATATATATATATATAATAACTGCAAAAAAATACATGGCACTTCATATGCATTTCAAACTGGACGGAATTGGATCCAGTACTAACAGGAGTGGATTTTTCTCCATAACGTACACCCCCTCTCTCTCTCTAGAAATACATACATACATACATACATATATATATATATATATATATATATATATGACTATAAAGAAAAATACAAGACACTTCATCAGCATGGGAAAGAGTGCTCTTGTATTAAAATGAGATTCAAAACAGTATCTCTCTATCTCTCTTTCCCCCTTACTCTGTGACATGACTTTTGTCACATAATAGTTACAAGTTGGCTCCACCCCCACTTATGTTTGATACTCTCATGGCAAGGGGGGGGAGACTTTCATTGCTGGGACATGTCTGAGGTGTCTCTGTCTTCTTGATGGCCAGGTCTGGCCTTTTGAAGGGTCATTATCTTGTGGCTTGGCTCACCTGGGGGCTGATGACTTCTTGAAATGACTCACTGTTCAGCTTAAATAAGTATAGATTCCTTATGTCAATTGCCAATTACACAACTTACGTGTCATAATTAGTGTAATTTGTTGTGTTTTTTTGGATGAACACAAAAACACATTGCATTAGACCAACTAATCAATTATTACATGTGTATTAACTCTTCACAGAGTTTATAGAAAATGCATGATATCATAGTCACTATAACATGCCTTCCAAATCAATTATTACATGTATCATTGCTTTGATCAGAAAACGTGACTCGGGAAAGAGCAACTTAGTATTGTGCTTCCATATTTGGATAGGAATACTTTGTTACCTGTAGTGTTTATTGGACACGTAAGAAAAATGTTTTCAACTTTGAAAATAATGGTGTACTTCTATTTAATGTGTTCTGGACTTTAGCTTTCACTTGAAAGAACCGGAAGTTAGGCTTGTAGCTTACATTTGAAAGAACAGAAAGTTAGGAATGTTGAGGAAGAAACCATAAACAACTTTAAATTTACAAAGTTAAAAAGGAAAATTGCAAAGTAATCTGATAGATTATTAATTGAAGGGTTAAATTTTGTTATTGCAGTACTTAAAACTAGTAATATAAAGAAACCTAATAGGAAAAGGAAACTAATTGTCTAAGTAAACTAAAAATATAAAGAAACTATTCAAAAATAAATCTCGCTAAAAATGGTAAAAGGTAAAAATATAAATAAAATAAAATCTAATAAAATTGTCCTATATCATCATTTCAAGGCATTATTTTGAGGTCGCAACACTATTATTTTGAGTCTCAAAATAATTGTGTCACTATCTATGTTGCAACATGCATTGAACATTATTTCAAGATTGCAATAGCATTACTTTGGACAAAAAATAATGATATTGAATCTTGGCTTAATATATTACACATGTACAATACTTTCAAGAACTATTAAAATCAAAATACTATAATGTTTGAGGCTCTCTCACTTTTTTTGATTGCGAAGAGAGACTTGTGTAGTATTTATAAACATAAGTTGTTTTACAAATTACATATATTTGAATTTAGGTAACTATCACTTATTTTTATCGGTAGGTTTCTCTAGGAATGGCAATGGGGCGGGTTTGGAGCGGGTTTGCCTAAACCCGTCCCCGCCCCGTCAAAATTTTGACAAATCCATCCTCGCCCCGTGCTCAGGACATTTTCAGAGTCCATCCCCGCCCTGTTGGAAGATGAATCTACCCGTGCCTGCCCCGCCCAGCTCCGCTATCATTTTTTTTTTTTTTTTTTTTTTGAGATCAGCCCAGCAGAGTACAACATATCCCTCAACAATTACACAGTCGGCACCATAAACAGCAACACCAGTCATCAGATAAATAACTGAGGTATGAAAACAAAATTGTTGGTCTTAAGGTGTATTTACCTATTTAATGTCAAAAACAGTGATTACATGACTTTTATGGGGTTCCACCACCTGCATTGTGGTTTATCATACAGGGGTAGTATTGTCCTTTACCATCTTGTGACATAATTACATAAGGGTTTGAGATAGTACATTGCAGCCACTTTACCTGCTCAGGCTATTTTACTGTGTAAATTGAGGTTCAACACATGAAAATTGTCTACAGGCCGGAATTTGCAAGGGCATTATTGTAGAGACCGATTCTTTTTCCATTTTTATGGGTTTATTTATTTTTTATTATTTTATTATTTTTTCGAGTTCAAGTTTTATCAGATCGGGTTGAGTCGAGTGCTCAGGAATAGTTCCTGACACTTCTTTCATTGATATTTGTATTGTTTTTATTTTTATTTCGCCTTCTATTATTTGGGGGTATTTGTGTGAATGTGTTTGAGGACGTTTTTATTTGTTGTGGTCTTTCTGAAAATATCTTTTGAAGATATTTTATTTGAGGAGTTTTTGAGAAAGTATCTTTTGGAGATATTTTCATTTTGGGTCATTAGTGCAATTATCTTTTGAGATATTTTAGTGGAGGGACCTTTGTGCAATTAATGAAAGTAAATGCATAGTATCTTGTTTTGGCCTAGAATTCTTGTACAGAATTCATTTTAAAATTTCATTGAGCCCTGTACTTTTAGAAATGCATTTCGGACATTTCCCCATTTTTAGGTTTTCTGACCTGAGAGTCGCTGTTTTTGCTTGGGACTTATTTTCTTGCTCAGGATTCATTTTTCGACGCCGTTTCTTTCGTTATCAATTATTTTTTATATAGGTACTTTTACGTTTACGATCTTATTCCGTTTGAGTGCGTTTCAATGATTTTCACTTTTTTGGGCGTTTGAGGGGCCTTTTGCAATTTTGTAAAGTTACGGGCTAAGTTCGCGATTACTGAAAGTTGAGAATTATATATATGTCAAAAATTAGAAAATTTTCTAATTTTTCATTTCTCTATCTCTCCCAACCGTGATTTCTCTCTCTCTCCCAAAAACCTTTTTTTTTTTTTTTTGGCCTTAAACATTTTTTTCCATTTTTTCAGCTGATCGTGCTAGCTTTCGAGCTTGGTTCCTTAATGGAAAATGTTCCCCTCATCGTTCTCTACCAGATGGTAGAACGGTTTAATTTTCAGTTGTGTATTGAATATTTTTCGAATTTTTGAAAGTTTTAGATGTAGAACTTCAAGGGAGATTTTGACCCATTTGAAACCGGATTTTGGAGCCGCACCTTTGGGGCTGTTTGACCTCCTCGGTGTCACTTATGATCCCACCGAACAGTTTTTCATTTGGCCGACATGGACCAGAATTGACCAGCGTTGACCAGAGTTGACTTTCCGACCGGGGATGCTTTTTAGGTGTATTTTGAGGTAGGGGTGGCTTATGCTCGTAATTTGCATTTTTTTTTTTTGGGTCTTTTGGGATGTGGGAAGTGATAAAGCATGTATATGTGTTATTTGGAAATGTGGGCCTAATTGGTATATTTGATCTTTACATTGTTAAGGTGCTGGAATGTTCTTATTTGTGCCTTAGGCTTACATTGGATTTTAGAAATGTCAAGCATAATGGGAAGGGGTAAATTTCATGTATTTGGTTGATTTACATATTTGCCTAATCATGCTT